TATATGCTTGTATCACAAATTAAAAACCTGGAGGACATGTGTGTGCAGATCAGGACCTTTTGCACATAAATTAATAAAAAACCTTGATTCGTCATCTGAGCTGGTATGGTCTGCGCAGGAATAGGGAAAAGATTTACACCAGTGGGGACCGGGCCCTGTATAAGCAGGCCAGGAACTGACCTGGGAGATCAAAGCAGCCAAAAGAAACTACAGTGAGAAGCTGAATAAAAGCTTCCCAGAGAAAGACTCTTCCTTTGCTGTTTGGAATGGTTTGAAAAACTTGACTAACTATAGGAGACCTTCCCTCCAACCTGAGCAAAATCCTCGCCTGGCTAATCAACTGAATGGCTTCTACTGCAGGTATAAAATGCAGCAGTATTCACCTCAACCCAACTCCTCCACATCCCATTCAGAAACAAATTCTTGCCATATACCAACCACCCTCCTACCTTCAGACCCCTGCCTGCACTAAGGACCTCAGAGGAAGAAGTAAATAGGCTCTTTGAGTGCCTGAAGACAAGAAAAGCTTCAGGACCTGATAATGTTTCCCCATCATGCCTGAAAGCCTGCGCTGACCAGCTGGCACCCATCTTCACTGAGATCTTCAACAAGTCACTGGAGCTGTGTCAGGTTTCCACCTGCTTCAAATGCTTCATCATCATCCCAGTACCCAAGAAACAAACCATCACAGGATTTGATGACTACAGGCCTGTCGCCTTGACGTCTGTGGTCATGAAATCCTTTGAATGATGGGTGCTAAAGCACCTGATAAACATCTCAGGCCCCCTGCTGGCCCCCCTGCAGTTTGCCTACAGACAAACAGGTCGGCAGATGATGCAGTCAATTTGGGACTACACTTCATCCTGCAACAACTCGACCACCCAGGGATGTACGCACGAATCCTGTTTGTGGACTTTAGCTCAGCCTTTAACAGTTTCAACACAGACATTCTCCACCAGGGGCTCACCCAGCTAAAAAGTCCCGGCCTCCACCTGTCACTGGCTCATCAGCTTCCTGAAGGAACAGCAGCAGCAGGTTAGATGAGGAAGCATCTTCTCCTGCGCAGGATAAATAAGCACCGGCACCCCTCAGGGGTGTGTTCTCTCCCCACTCCTCTTCTCCCTTTACATAAATGACCTCTCAGTGTGTCCTGTCTTCGACCATCTCAGGGTGGCTTGGCTCATCCAAAAAACAGGACAGGTCCAGACTGTCACTGTGCATATATGTACATTTCAAAAGTTATTTTGTATTTCCATTTATTATATTAATAAAAATAAATAAATCTTTACTGAGAGCAAAGTGTATCGGAGTCTAATTACTTGTTTTTTGTGCACAAACTTGGCAATAAAGCTGATTCTGATATATATAGATATATAGATATATATCTATATATATCTATATATATATATATAGATATATATAGATATATATATATATCTGATACAAGCCTGTCATCGTGGATGTATGGATGTATCAACAAGTCAATGTCTGATTGGATGAATGTAGCAGATATCAAGCACAACATATGATTGGATGATAACAAGAAATTATTAGATTAAATTGACCTCTGTCATCGGAATTTATTTTGTACTTATTATCTTTGACAGCAGCCTTTTTGAAACTTCAATAGTATGAATAAAATAAAATAATAAAATAAAAAGAATTAAGAAAAGTGTCTGTCATCGGTGTGTCCCTTTTTTCTCCTGATTTTAGTAGTTTACTTCCTGGCATTGGACTTTAATTTATTTGTTCAGTTTTATGAACTTGATTTTTTTAATAATCAATGCAGATTTTTCCGAGATATTGTGAGGGCTAAATTGGTACAAAATTGTTGATACCCTACCAATACATCAAAAAAGAAAATCCATTTTAGGTATTGAAATAGTGTGAAACTGACAAAAGTAATTTGAAATAAATAATAATGAATACATAAAAAAGTATCATTTAAAAAAAAAAAAATTATGGTAATTAAAGTAGCCTGGAGACAGAGAATTGTACCCATAACTTCATATTTCCTTGTTCAGCCTTTTAAAGCAGTCACCACAGAATAAGGATTTCCACCATTTTCTGAGATTTCTGCAGCTGAAGCGAGTATTTTGGCCACATTTCATTAGTAAACTGCTCTCGCTGTCTCAGGTTTGAAAGATTACTTCTACCAACTCCATGTTTCAGCCAAGACTAAATTGTGTTTTAGCTTTTTGTTCTGAGTCATTATCTTGTTGGAGGACTCATTCGATTTGACTGAGACCAGGCTTTCTGACCCTTGGCAGCATATTTTGCTTCATATGACTTGATATTTCAGTTTACCCTGCACAGATTCAAGCCAACCGGTGCCAGATGCAGCCTCCAACCCTTGGGCAGAAGTTAATCTTCTCATGTATCTTTCAGATATATCTTCTAACAGTAATCCCAATAACTGCAATAGCAATAAAAGACATAACATGAGGTTAAAGATCTACTTTATTTCACAACGTAAAAGAAAGGAGCAGTAAAAGACACAAACAATGGGAAAAAGAGCACATTCAGGAGTCGGAGTTCAGAACCACACTTTTGGCCCTCTTTCCTATACGCAGCTGCTTTCATGCTGCATGACCAGATCAGATTATTTTTTAGAAATTAACTTTTAGGCAATGGAACAATAAACATAAAAGCTGCCTGTCTTGAAAAAATAAAATATTGATTTCTTAGTAGGTGCCCTGATTTCAAACCTAACAAGCCAGCTGCCATCATGGCAGAAGAGGAAAGCTAAAACTGTTTGTGGTCTCAGAAATGGTTTTGCTATTGTTTCAGGAGCTAAAATAAACTTTCCAGTATATACACATCAGAGCACGCAAAAAAGATTGTCTTTCTTTATAAAATTTATCATGTCTTATTCACTTTGAACATACTCAGGTAATATTGGATTAATTTGTGCTAAAGGCCAACATTATATTGCCATACTGACAACAGTAAACAACACGAAGGACGTAAACACAGGCATCACTTTGGGTTGTGTAATTTTGTAGATATTAACTTTAAAGGACATCCTTTGTCACAAGTCTTCATGGCATCTATTACAAAAACATAGTACCATTAGAGTGTTGCTACTTATCACTTTTTTGTGATTGGGGGTAAAATTTCAGTAGAAAAGGTGGACTACTAATCCTTAGTGACTGGCAAGATTTACACAACAGAAACCAGAAAATTAGCAGTTTGTTTTTCTAAATCCACTTTATTAAGCATGTTCACTTGTGAGATTTAGATGGAAATATTTATATTTAATATCAATCTTCTGTTTAGTCTGCTCAGATTATGTGACATTTTTCAGTGCCATCCAGCATTTCTTTCTCGGGGTCTTATAGTCGAAGAGCTTGAATTTAAAACACCGACTTTCCATGTGCAAGTAAATTAGTGAAAATTATTTTTTTAAAATAGGGCAGTAAGTATTGCTCCATCAGCAAAACACACAATATCAGGCAAATTCATGTAGATATCTTATGCTACTGAACTTTCTAAATATCTGCGTATTTTGCTGTTATTTACCTCAACACAATACATTCTGTTTATGTTGCATGTATATAATGTATAAAATACTTGAAAAACCTGTAATTTCTTTCCTCTACGACTTCACTGCTTTAGCTTTGCTATGAACAGTTTCATGAAATAAATTACGCTGGTTTCTTTTCTGTACCTTTCCTCACTTGCATTTCAAATCAGTACTTTTCAATGGATTTGAACATGAAGGCTACATAACACAAATTGACAACCTTTTTAATATACTTCTGAAAATCAACTTGATGACTGAATATCGCATAACCTGTATTTTCAGTTCTTCCATGCAACTTGAACAGGTGAGGGAGAGGGGGTTACCTTCTGCATTCTGTACAGGAAAAACAGTGTTTGTGCTGCCGACATGCCTAAACTTTAGAACCTTTCACTTTCAGTCTGCAGAGAACCTCTTCTCTAATATTTACCTAAACTTTATAAAAAAAACTTGACATGGTTTTAGCCTGCAAGTTGTATTAATCTACCAGATCAGCGGCAAAGTGTCATTCCCCTCAAGTTCCATCAAGTATGGAAGAAATTTTGAGATTTTGTGTCAGACTGTCAGTTGTGCAACAGCATCAAAGATATGTTCCTGTGCTCTCCAGCTGCTCCATCAGCTGATGAGGTGGATTGATACAGGGATCAGGCTCCGCCAGCATAACTCCACATAGAAAAAAGCTCAACAAAACAGCGCCAACACAACAATGTTCTCCTTTGAAATTGTAATGTTATATCCTACTGACACGGACAGTGATGAGGTTTTCAAAATAATGTGAACTCATTGAAAAATTTTTACCCATATGTAAAAAAACATGGTTGCTTGAAATCAGGTGTCGACTGTGGCTCAGTAGGAAGAGTAGTCGTCTTGCAATCAGAAGGTTGTGGGTTCGATTCCAGCCATATGTCGATGTGCCCCTGGGCAAGGCACTTAACCTCAAGTTGCCTACCGATCTGCATATTGGTGTATGAATGTGTGAGTGCAACTGGGTGAATGTGGCTCTAGTGTAAAGCACTTTGAGTGGGCTGTATGATTGGAAAAGCGCTATATAAGTTCAGTCCATCACCTTCAGTTCTTTCTCTTATCCTGAACATTTAAGTTCTGAAGGCAACTTTGTAAAAGTAGCCTCCTTTTAAGCAAGAGATGACCTCCAGCAGAACCAGACTCAAAAAGCCTTCTTCCTTAACCAATTTACTTACTAAGATGAAGAACAACAACAAGCAGTGCTACTCTTCCAGTAAAACTAAGGTACTTTAGAGTGCATGGGGGTAATCTGGAAAACATATCTAACCCATCCTTTCTTTTCAATCTGATGCCATACATCTGTCTGTCCTGTATTGTGGAGATGCATATAATGATAAGGCATAGTATTAATAGAAGCATCTTATCAAATTTTTGTTTTATTGCTTGTATAAATGTTAATCGGTACATCTTGTACAAGCATCAAAACTCTGAATAAATAGAGGCTATATAGAGCAACAATGTTTAATTATAGGAAAACTCATCTGAACATGTACTTTCCTGAGTTGGCAGTCATTTGAAAAATGAAATGTTTCTTGAATGATGAAATACCACAGCTTTCATTGCTTATAATCCCTTTCAGACACGAAAAGAGGAGATACAAGAGGAGATTTTGGGATACATGTTAAAATCAGGTGATGGGAATACAGTTACAAATATCAGAAAATAAACTGACATTTACACAACAGAGAAAGGGTGAAAACAAAAATTCATTTCACAAAACAGTTAATTCCAGGCTCATACGCTGAGTCTTGCAGTGCAAACTGATTCCTTTGGTGCACCAGAGTTTCCTTATTTTCACAAGAGGTCCTCTTTAGTAAACAGTGTCCTGCGCAGTTTGTGTTCAGAGAGGACTGTTGCATTGAGGACTGGGGATGCTGTAAACTCAACGGTGCATGACTGGGAGCTGCACGGATCAGCTTCCAGCTCCAGGACGGTCACATTGTTGGGTGCTGCTGTACTCAGGATGCTGGCAGGAACAAAAAGAGTCACCTGAGGGCCTCGAGCGGGCCAATAACGCCCTAAATTAAAGCCATTAATCCAGATCTGCCCCTAGGAAAACAAAAATATATTATTAGTTTGTTTGTGCCACACTTTGTTCAAATGCTTTTCTAAACAAAACATTTAATTTGAGCCATAAAAGTTTTACTGGAGAGATAACCTGAAAAGGCACTAAAACACATTTAATTTCTCAAACCATGATAAAAAAAAATAAAAAAAATACAAATACACAAATATAGAAGGGTTGTGAAAACTAGCTGTTCTCGTTGCTTAGTTAAAAAAAAAAAGGGTAATAAATCAAATTTCACAATTTAATTATGCTCACTAATACTGAACATCAATACAGGTGTAATTGATAAAGACAAAAAAAATGCTAAGGACCCAAAATGTCCTCCACAGTAAGTTACTTTATAGGACTAAATTCTTTACTTTTTCTTGAATTGTTTACAGAAAAATCTTTCCTCAAACATGAAGATGCTGAATTGCTTTAATTATACCAATACACAGAAAGCACAAAATAACAAATCCAACTTTCTAATTATTAAACAAAAATATCCTCCTATATGTAATTTTTGCTTTTACAGTACATGTACTGAAGTTGTTCTTTGGCTCGTAGTAAACAGTCTGAAACTAAATGTGTAATTTTGGTTCAGTCACCTTCTTCCAGCCTGGCAGCTTGACATAAGTGTCTTGAGGGAGGCCTGGAATACCGTCGGGAATGACGAAGCTTCCCTTATAGAAGGCTGGAGGTGACAGAGCCGCAGGCTGACCTTGATCTGTCCGTGTGGGAGGATGATCTCCAAGTAGGCCCTGTTTGACTGCCTTGTCGATGCTGAGACTGTACATGGTCCAGCCAGTGAGGGGGACTTGTCCCAGAGTAAGATTGGAGACCAGGCCCTGTGAGGAGAAAACAATTTGTAAAAAGTAGCACATTTTAAATAATTGTAAATGTTTTTAGTATGGATGTCCCAATGTGATCCCAGGTATTGACCGAGGGCTCTGATGTGATGTGTGACAGATTCCCAGACAACATTACTCCTGATATCTGTTGTTGGTGTACCCTCTGGGAATTCATATCAGCAACCCCCCCCAGCGAGATGTGCAACAACAACATATTTTGAACTGCGGGGGTTCAAAAAATCTATTATAGGCTGAGCACTTGTTGTTGATTTGAGTCTGAGCTTTTCAAACCAATCTAAGTGTTTTTTTTTTCATTCTTTACAATGATTTTTAATGTAAAGAGAGACTTCACTAGCTGCTGCAGCTCCCTGTTCATCTGCAGAGAGCAGCTGAAACACCAGTCATGCAGTTTTACAACGATCAATTCAAAATTTCTGTAAACAACCGTTTCTGGAAGTTTTTTCACGCATGATTACATACAATTGCATACAAATATGTTGCGAGCCAAATTATCAACATCCTATCATAACCTTGACCAAACGTGCTATTGCTAGCCTAGCACCTCTGCAAACTGTATGCCAGAAGCAAGATTTCTGCTGACTTTATTGAAGACTGTAGCTGTATGTGCATGTCAGACATATCTGTAGAAACAAATGAAAATGGCGTGCATTTTTCAGGCAACACACTGTAAGGGCGCAGTAGTTACTTCCCTAACTGAGTTAACTCATGCTGGAGCAGCATATTGAGTCTGCCCTGCAGAAACTCCTGTTGGGACAAAATATTTGCCAGGAAATGGTGAATGAATTAACTCACAATACTAATGTAGACCACGTAACACTGATCAATTGTAGCTACTTTACTGCATGTACATGGCACTGATTTTAATAAGGTATGGCAATAGAACTCAACATTGGCAAATGCCTTATCTTAAATGATTTACATCGGTATCAGAGACAAAGAAACCTGATCCAGACATCCCTGGTTTTCAGGACGTTCGACACAAATATAGACACAAGACAGATGATGAGACTGAAACCATTGAAAACAATAATAAAAAACAAACAAACCTTGAAGTCGTTGATGTCTCTTCCATAGTTAATTCGGCCCATGTTCTCCACCAGTATGTCCACCTGACTTTCAGCCTTTCCTGTCACATTCACACTCAAGACCTTGTTCCTTTCCAGAACCCCTACTGCCACCTTGGGAATAGATATGATTATATTAGAACATATATCAAAACATAAAATAGACATTTGTAGTCACCTGTTTTTGTTCTAAAGTCCAGTTTACTCATGATTGGGGGTAGACTGAATCTCCCGGTCTATTGTTTACTATTTTTGACTCTTCATACTGTTTGGATCTGCTAATTTGTTTCAGTATTTTTGATTATGAAGAGTTTTGTGCTGTTCATTGGAGCCCTACATCTATTTGTAAAAGGAACAGAAAACTGCCAGCTTCGTTTATGCTTTCAGTCAAGAGAAAACCTCGCTAGTGTAGACTGTTTTAGAAACTTGTATGAACTACATCTCTATATTAAAGTGCTGCCATATTACATATTAGTATCATGAGTGCCACTAGCTTACCCAATCTGTGTGCAGGCAGATCCTTCTTCTAATGTAGCACCACCCAACAATTGTTTAGTGTTTACCTTGCAACAAATATTTTACCAAAATGTGACTGCTAAAATATTCTAAATTGTGATACTACTTACAAAACCTGCAATAATGATATTGGTGAATATTAACTTTCATTTCTTTGGCACTTTTTTTTTTTTTAAACCACTACACAATGCCCAACCACTCTCAGCCAGTAAGGACACAAATCTGGTGTGGGCATTAAGGGAATTTAGGAGTTCATTATACAAGCCAAATAAGTGACAGAGCTATACAAACAAATATTGCATCCAAGAAGTCCTTCAAGATTATGATACTGCACACAGTAATACTGCGATGAAGACTTCAATTCAATATATTGTGCAGCCCTAGTGCGAAGGTTTTGAGAGTCAAGACGTGGCTTATGAAAAGCCTGGGCTTCACAATAAGCAAAATGGTTTATTCTGTGTACGGCTCAGGGTGTAAAATATTTATTCTGTTGGAATCCCATCATTTAACCAAGTTTTACAGATTTGTTTGTCCATATCTAAACTATAAATGCAAAAATTCACAATAAATCAGGCAGGTTAATTATTTGCTGCAGAGTTTTTTTTTTTTTAAATCGGGCTTTAAACTAGGACTCTGCAAAAAGACACGGATGTACAGACGGATGGATAGATAGAGAACACATGAAATAGAAATAAAATCCAGACTTTTACCAAACTGCATTGGAAGCCTGTAATATCAAGAGCTGCTGTGCAAGTAGCTGATCCTACATCACCTTTAGTCTCTTTGAGCTGAGGAAAATCATTCTCTGATGTTGGAGCTAAACTAGTTATAGAGGCTAAATGTATTGTTCCTGCAGTGTATGCACAACAAAACTAAGATATGTGTAAGAGTTCACCCAAGAAAACACAGAACAGCAAAGAATTGATTTTGTTCAATCCAGGATTGATAAGTGCAAATGAAATCAATAAAAAGAATAAAATGCAAACAAACATTGTGAAAGATTTGTGACAAGTCACAATAAATCCTACATCAGATGGAGACAGCATAGAGGATCTGATAATGAACAATTTGACTCACCCCGTCCACTGACACATATGCTCTGTCGTGGACCCCGTTCAGAGGTGATGACAGAGGGGTGGGCTGGCTGCAATTAACAGCCAGAGTCGTCCTGTAGAGAACAAAACCAAAGGCCTGGAGAGAAACAAAAAGATACAGAAGGTATGGAGGAAATTAATGATAAAAAAAAACTGCTGGATTTACTGTAATGGAAAATGCCTGGAGGATACCTGATTCAAGTCAGTGAACGTCTGAGGATAGTTGCTTCTAACTGGACCTGAGAATGACAATGTTTCTGTAGCATCGGACACTGTCTGGAGCTGCAGGTGACA